TAAATTAATTCTTTAAATATGAAAATATTCTTACCGACTATTTTTAGGAAATCTTCAAGGTTTTCCTCAGAATAAACCTTCCAAGTGCCGCTGAAGTCCATGCCTGCTGGTCGTGTTGCTTGCCCGAGGATGTTTGTTGTTCTTGTTGTCATAATGCCATCACACACTCTGCTGGTTGGCAGGTTGGGGACTTTAAATTCCCTGTTATTTGGACTGGAATTTCCAGTGAGAGCCATAATGGGGCTGAATCTGTAACTCCTCATTCACAAGCTGTGGTGTAACATCTTTACAGACTGGAGCAACAGATGTTAAGTTATGTGTTCATGATACAGCAGATACCAGGAGAGCGCACGTGAAGACGCACAAACAAAATCACTGCATATTAAACACTTAACTTAGGCAATGACATACCTTTATTTCAGACAAGAATTAAAGCTTTCCTTCTTTTTTTTTTTTTTTTAACAGATATTTAAGATGACTTTCTTTTCCATCTCTATATAAAAATACTTCAACTGGCAAACACACAGAAAGCAAATACATTTTAAGGCAAACATGTGCAGGCAGAAAACCCTCAGGCAGTTCAGTGCTGTTAAGTGCAGATATGAAAAGGCGATTCACTTGTTTAACCTCCCAATAAAAAGGTCTCAAAGCATGCTCAGTTACCAGTAACACAGACACGCAGAGATCTGTCACAAAAACACGTCAACAAACTCGATTACTGCTGGAATGTTACTGAAGCTCTGAAGCACTTCCAAACACCATAAATAGAGCACACGTAGAGCACATTGTGGACAGAAACACTCATTTTCTTTCTGCAGAGGGCATCTCTTAATACTGTGCCATGTTGCAGTCCCTGAGAAAACATGGATCAGTCATGCAGCAATGTTAAATATAGTGCTAAGCTTGTTCACAGACCACGGTCAAACTAAATTTGCATTTTTTTTCTTGACTTTTTACGATATTTTAACCTTCTTGGATCACCAGATTTGTGCTTTCTATTTCACCAGGACACTTTTAGCTGTGCAAAACATGTTCTAGTTATACCCTCTTGTAATTTGATATAGTTAATGATATAGTCCGATTGATATTTTTGAGGCAGATTCCGATACTGATATTCAACATTTACATTTAAAAAGGCCAAAGGCACCAGTATACTTCTTCAGGAGTGTTTGTCAGACGTTCAGATAACTTCGGAAACCCCCTCGCCAGATGTCACCTGACTTCTGTAACTTTCCGAAACCGACGCTCACACACATTTCACCCTGTGATTCACCAGTTGTGAAGAGGTGACAAACCATTTTTTATCACCTTTCATGTAAACAACCAAGTGAAACACTACAAATGTCTTTAAGGTGAGACTGTCTGAAAATGTGTGCCGTTATTTAAACTATCGGGTCTCCCCCTTCTGTAGGACGGCCAGCTTTTCATCCTCCTAGTGACGCCGTTCGGAACAAATAAAAACACAGCTGCCTTTATCTCTACAGCCATGCTAGCGGCTCTGTGAGGCTGTTTATAGGCACAGCAGTTCGTGAAGTCCATCAGTCCACTAACACTAACCATCACTGTCTTAGTTCAGGGTGTTTTCATGCTAACATTTGCTAATTGGCACTAAACACAAAGTACAGCAGAGGCTGATGGGAATACCAGGTCATAAATCTTTTCATTCATTTCATCTTAATAAATTTCAAAATTCATCATAACAGGCAAAAAAATAATTAATGCGTGTACTAAATTTGGCAATTTATTTAATAGTTGTTGAGATACAGTATTTGACCTCATGTTAGCGCTTGAAGTAAAGTCAGCGGATCATCAAAGTCCTTAAAAAGGTCCTGTGTGTAGGATTCAGTGGCAACTAGCAGTGGAGTTGCAGATTGCAATTCCCTCACGTCACCCTCCTCTTTCAAGCGCAAAAGGAGAAACTACGGTGGCTGCGAAATGCACGAAAAACCCTAAAAGCTATCTACTGCCAGTATTTGGTTTGTCCATTCTGGGCTACTGTAGAAACATGGAGGTTCAACATGCGGCATCTGTAGATAAAAGCAGCTCATTCTAACGTAACCTTACCCTTTTTCAGGTGATTATCCACGAATGAAAACTTACATTCTATGTCTGCCAATAGATCCTCCTAAAAGTTACACACTGGACCTTTAAGATACATCCTCTGGGGACTGTGAGTGAGACCACCACTAGCATGGCTAAAAATAAACTGGTCTGAGCTCTCTGGAAGACAAACTTTGCGTTGGGGACACTATCTATATCACGATCTTTGGTATTTCTGCACAGCAGTTTCCTGTTGCTCATCAGCCGATACTGATATATCAGTGATAGGCTAATGTTGGCTTTAACTCCGACCATCTGGTGCTTCAAGCTTAAATCAAGTGCTTTGTTGTTTTTGTTTTTACTATTTGAGGCAAGTCTGCTAGTTAAGACACAATGCTGACACTAGGCTCACTTCAGGCTGTAATACAATCCTGAAATAGCGAATGGTCAGAGGTGCATGCTTTGGCAATGTGTTACACGATAAAGCTCCTTTTGAATTTATGGAAAAAAAATGCTGAAAAAAGAAATTTGCATAATCTCATATCACAAAAACATAAAAAAGAATAATACTTAAATGAATAAATACCAAGCTTTGCTACGACTCCAATTCATTCAGGGATCTCCGCTCATTAAACGCAACAGACCAGATGAGGAGATCATCCTCTGCTTCCAATGTGAATAATATGTGCTTCATTAGGAGCGGAAGGAGCCGTCTCCCTCCTCCTCCTTGTTTGGACCGGGGTCACTAAGGCAGCGTGAAAGTTTCAGTTGGTCTTGCTCCTCCTGCTCGTCTGGTACTTTGGTTCTCTGTGCGCCGCTCTGATTGGGCCTCTGGGGCGATTCGCTCAACAGGCTGACGGCATCAGGAGGGATGGGATTTGGCTGAACTGTCGGGCCTCTGGGGCTCTCACTGTCATCGTAAGTGTAAACCTGGTGTTCTGGGATACAGATGCAGTTCAGTTTAGTGCTTTGAAAAAGGTGGAGAAGCCGCATTTAGTTTCTGTGCCGCTCAAATGTGGAACAAACTGCCAGAAGAACTAAGACTTGAAACAATGCCGACTACTTTCAAATCCAAGCTACAGACCGACCTGTTGTTTTCCATTGTTTTTACTTAATTTAAATTTACTTAAGTTTGTTTGTTTTACAGTTTTGTCTTTATTCTGGGTGCTTTTGAGTGTTTTTCCCTTTAATTTAATACATTTTATAATTTCTTTCTTGTTTTGTTTGCAACCCAAACTTTGTAAAGCACTTTGGGTTGCCATGGGTATGAAATGTGCTAAATAAATAAATTTGTCTTGTCTTAAACATTGTCCATTATTCCTTTTGAATAAACACATAAAATTAAGGAGCCTTTTAAATGATCAAGATATGTACTGTTATTATTTATTTTTTCCACTTTTTAATGATCTAAAGCAGTGTCATACGATAAGATATTTTTTACCAACCTGGTTCAAAACAGACTTTTCTTACTGGCGTTGTTTCCTGACGGTTTGCAGGAACGGTGAGGTAGTGACTCATCTGTGAATGAGACACAGACATTAGTCAGGATGGACTTTATTTGATAGCTTAATACCTTAAAAACATAAATATCACAACCAACAATCATAATATTGAAACTAAAGATATAAGTCAACATCTTAATTAGACTGAATTGATATTTAGTTTCACTTCATTCATTATAATTTAATAGTCTTAACCACAGTGAATGGAATTACAACCATGAAACAACTTGCAATGATGGGTCATTAAAAGCAACCAAAAATAAGGTTCAAAGAATAAACTAGTCTCAGCACAAATAACTACATCTGTTAATAAAGTTGGCTAATTTTATGAATCTTGTTGATCTTAAATTGTCACACAGCTCCAACATTCACAAACAGAATCACAGCCTCTGTTAAAAAAACTCACCCTCCTCTCCATCTCCACCCTCTGCCTCCTGAAGCGAACTTCACTCACGTTGTCCTCAAACGGGTCGATCAACAGGTCATGTCTGCTGTAGGAACGAAGCTGAGGACACACAGGACCATGAAGGACAGCGTCACAAACACATTTTATTACTAAAGTTCTTCTTATCGACTAACTCCTCACTGCGTTACCGACCCTTTGTCTGGTCTTCTGCAGGTTGCCTCGCAGAATCTTCCTGATCTCTTCCTCACGACTTTTCGAGATGCTCGGGATTGCCCGTCGTCTCGCCGGCCCTCTTGGCTGAATGTTTCTGTCGAGACACAAAAAAAAATGTCACAAACAAAAGTATTCAATAAACAAATTCTATTCCTCAAAGCACAGGACGAGCATTACATATTTTGTTATGGGATGATCTACACCAGTGGTTTACAACCCTATTGGCTTATTTAGAGTTATTTATTTACTTTATTTGCTTTTTAACACAATGGTGGCACCGAGAGCTCAACACACTAAAACTTAAAGTGGAAAACTTTAATATTTTCTTTTGAATAAATGTCTGTTATGTCACTATCTATCGCAAAATGAGGCAACACAGTGGAGATGGAGCATTTGGCCGACTGATCAAAGCAGTGAAGTATCCACATTCCAGGAAATAAATGCTGTAAGAAGTTCAACCGAAGGCAAACTGAACCTTTCCTACTGTTACAGCTTCACATTAAAAGCATTTAACTGGTGAAACATGAGTAGACTAATAGTAGATGATTGGTTTAGCACTTACTGCTATTGTTCATCAAAAATATTTTTTTGATTTTTTGACAATCTTTAAAATATTAAAGAAAATAAATAAATGAATATTAATAAATACTTGGAGGGAGTAATGGAGAAAGAAGTCACTGTTACTCTGCATAATTAATAAACTGTCAACACTTTTCATTTCTTATCCAAATGACAACTCACACCCAGGCCACTTCTAGTATTTAATCTAGTATTTGTGAGTCCTCGGGGCTCTCTGCAGCCCACTCCTCTAAGACCGATACTTACTGCATTGAGACGGATGACACAATCGTGGGCAGCTTGGCGGCGTTCCCGCTCTCCACCAGCATCATGGCCTGTTTCATCTCCATCTTGTTGTAGAAGGAGATGAGCTGAGGCTCGGTGGAGCGTTCACCTGCGATCAGCCACTTCTTCACGTAGGTCTTATTGAAGCGGTTCAGCCTGAGTGCAGCAGAGAAATCTCTCATTAGTTGAGCTTTTTGTGTTATTTTGTTAGGTGTCTCTGCTCCTCACTGACAGTCACGCACACGCTAGAAGGGTTAAAAAAAGTTACTTTGTCATCCCACCCACAAGCACCACGACCAAGGTTGACGTATCACTACATACATCCACTATTACTACGACCAAATTTAAATGATTATTTAAGATGAAGGAATAGATCTGGTTCTTAAACTATGGTATGTGGATCACTGGTGGCACGTGAGTCGCTTCTAGTGGTATGCAGAGGAAGAATTAAAATACTTTTGCATTTCCTGTAATATTTAGTTTCAATATCAACCTGCTACATAGCCACATTCATACACGTAGTGCATGCATACATCCACAATTAATTATAAGCTAAAATGTGATCGCAAGATAGTAAGCAGAGGTAAAATTAATAGTTCAAATGTCTCCAGACGAGAAGACAAGTGTGGACCAGGAGTATCTTTTCCACTAAATTATTTCTTCTTGAATTGGCTCCATTCAGGATTCAACAATAAAAAATCTTATTATTAGGAATAAACCTGCCTAATAAACGTCGGTCACAATGGTTGTACTTGGAGAGCCTGATATTTTCTGAGGTGATGCGCAGTCTTAACAAGATTAAGAAACATTGGAAGAGAGGATTCAATGTTACTGGAGTTAATGTAAGTCAAGAAACTGGGTTCTTAACAGCAACAGGATTTTAATTTGGCGAAACGTCCTTCTGTCACTTCGAAGCAGCTAACTTTTGCAGCAGCAGCAAGATGGGACAATTTGAAGTTTTCATTAATTAATTTCCTCATATTATAGTTGATTTATTTTACAATACATATCATTAGTAGGTATCAACATGAAACCATCACACACTTTTGAACCCCACTCATCATATAAAACTTGTTTGTAAGTTGATACGAGGTGTGCCTGTGTGCCCTCTTAAAAAGGCCGTTTCTTTGCGACTTTTCCTCATTAAAGACAGTAAAAGGGAGGAGATAGAGGACATGCTGAGAAAAATCATACTTGTCTTTCCAGTGATGATGTCCGTAATGACCACAGATGCATTCAATTCCTGTGAGGAGATGATCCAGGAACTGAAGACAGAACGAGTTTTTATATGCCGTTATTTAGTATCTAGTATGTTAGTTTCTAAATGAACAATAAAACAAAAAAAAGAGTTTAAAAGAATAAAAATCAACAGAAGTTTGATCTCTATTGATCTCACCTGTGTGTGAATCTCCTCATTTATTGATCCCTTGTTCTCCTTCTTCCTCTTCACTGCCAGAAGCTCCACCAGAGGCCTGATTGTCATTCCCTGAACACAGCAACAGGAGTGAGGATGTGCATCAACTAGGCTATATATTGTATGATACATTGTGGTTGGATTTACAAATAACTTTAAAAAATAAGCTGCAACATGCATATTTTTGCAGGTTGTTGCAATTCCAGTTAGTGGCCAACAGAGGTCAGTAATAGTTACCAATATATGGAGGATAAAACCTGACAATATTACATTTGTGGTTGCTTTTTTCTACATTTGGTTTTTAATATTTTTGTCTATTATTAAAATTCATTTGACAAATATGTTAATTGATACATTTTTTTCTTTCCTAAAAAGACATAAATAATATATATAAAACATTTCTCACCTGCACATAGACGGTAAAGAAGATGACTGTGATGATGGCGGTGAGGAACATGTACTTCATCTTACTGTTGGTCAGCAGGAAGCCCAGTGAGAAGGCTATGGCACCTCGCAGGCCACCGTAGGCCACGATGAACTGGTCCTTCGGGGTCAACTTCACAATACGGAATTTATTGATTATGTATGTGAGGCCAAGGACTCCTGAAACACACAGAAAACAACATAATAGAGTTTATAAAGAAGAGGACAGGGTAGAGAGGAATGAGGAGGAATTAATACAGATGACTACAGATAATAATACAAATGATTAATTACGTATTGGGGCAATTAAGTTAAAGTTCATTTGTAAGCTATACGATTTGTTAAAAAGGACAACAGCTTTGCTAATGTCAGTATATTACCCTACGACTACCACTAGAAGTCACTGAGGCAGCATATTTTATTGCATAAGGAAGCAAGAATATTTATGGTCAACTACAACCATCTTTCAAATCCTTTTTTTCCCTGTTTCTTAAAGTGAAAAGTTGTGAAAAAACAGCACAAAATGGCAACAACGCCATCAAAAAAATGCAAGAATTAATTAAAACCCAGACAAAAGTCAGTATTTGACCACATTTGGTTGCACTGACCCAGCACTCTCGATACCAGACAGAGGATCACGGTGGAAATGACGAAGGTCCAATTCCAGGCGTGAGGCCCGGCCACCGTGGAAACACCGAGGAAGATGAAGATGAGTGTCTCGCTCACACTGCTCCACATCTTCAGGAAATATTTGACGGTGGTGTACGACTTGTGGGAGATGTTGGCTTCTACATAAGGCCGCATCATCACGCCACAAGCTATTAACCTGAGACGGGAAGGAAAGAGAATGGATGAGCTTTCCAGCACAAATTAAGGTTTAAAGAGGTTAGTTTCTGCAGGTTTAAAGCTGTGTGAAACAATATTTCTACACAAAACTACCCCAAATCATAAAGAGTGGCTTCAATATAGCCGTCCAACCCTCCTCCTACTAATGAACACAATGTAAATCTGTTTGTTTTTTTCAAGTGAAATTAGGTTTTGGAAATCTGTCCGGTGTGATCACTTCTCCGACAACAGCAGGAGTCTCAAACTGTTGATAGAAAGTGCAATAATAACAGTAACTAACATTATATATAATAAAAAAGTGTAAACAGCAGTTTCAGTACATGTTTATATCATCTTTGTTCGCAGCCAGACAACAAATAGAGGCCCAAATCCCGCACGTATTTGCAGGCACCTTTGACTTTTACCATTATTTTAATGTAATTTATGTTAATTGTATATAAAGGTGTAGATTAATTTGATATGACATAACTAAAAGAAATTAATAAAAATCTTCGTCGTACAGATACTCCCCGTTTCTTTCTCCTCCCCAAAGAAGAAGCAAGGAAAAGCAGAGTTTCTTTTTGGACTGTGGTGAATCATTTATGGTGGCCCTTGATATGAAAGAGTTTAGGGACATTTATTCTGGTCCTGCTCCGCTTTGTTCAACAAGCATGTTAAAAATGGAGCGGAGCAGCTATATTGTTTACTGAAGAAGAATAACAACACCATACACTGAGAACGGACTTACGACATGATCCCTGACAGATGGAAGACCTCAGCAGAGAGGTAAGCCATGTAGCTGTAGAGGAAGACGAACAGGGGCTCAATGACTCGGGTGTGAGAGGTGAAACGGGAAGTAAAGGCACCCAGGAGGCCGTAAATGGCTCCCACCAGGATGCCTCCCAGTGAAACCACGAAGAAACAGACCACACCGAGGAGGGCATCGACCAAAGTCACTGTCCCTGCGTGGGAAAACTCCTCGAACAGGTGATACAGAACCTGCACAGAGAGAGACACATACTTTCTGAGTCTTTAATTGTCTGTTTTGTGTTGAATTTAAAGGTAAAATATCCAAACTTTATGCCTCTCAGACTTCTATATGTTATCTTTGTGAAGGAGGTTATGTTTATTAACAGGAAATCTCAAAAATCGGGATCAAGATTTTGGGGCATTTTTCAGTCGATAAGAATTTTCTTAAACTCAGTCACCAGTTTATGAAGTTGGCTACATCTATCTAATTATACAGAGTGAGAGAGTCTAAAACAGTTCAACCAAAACTAAACAAACCATTTTTCTTAATGGGCCCAACAGGAAAATAAACAGCACTTTAAATACAAAGATCCAGGACAGAGCTGAATTTTAAACTGAACTTTTGACTCAATAATAATTTATATGTATCCAAATGTTATCAAACATTTTGTATTTAGCTAAAAAGCTAAAGATATAGACAGATATAATTCTTCCTTCTCCTTGAATATAATCAAACTAGACACCACAGCGCCTCCAGCCTTCACTTGACTCACCACAGTGACGGCGTCGTTGAGAAGCGACTCCCCGAACACGAGGATGTGCAGCAGCTCGTTGATATGGATCTCCTCGAACACGGCCAGGACGGCCACGGGGTCTACAGCCGAGATGATGGAGCCGAACAGCAGGCAGGACAACAGGTCGACGCTGGCCAGCTCGGCTCCTCTAATCTGACACACGCCGTACATCGTCCCACCAATGAAGAAGGCGTTCCACAGGGTCCCCACCACGGCGAACACCAGGATGGTGCCCATGTTCTCCGTGAAGGCCCGGATGGGCAGGAAGTAGCCGGCATCGAGGATGATGGGAGGCAGCAGGTAGAGGAAGAAGAGCTTGGAGTCGAGGATGGGGGCTTCTTCTCCGATGGCTTTGATGAAGCCGCCCACCAGCAAACCGACGAATATCAGCAGACAACTCTCTGGGACGACGTTGGACACTGTGGGAATAATGTGAAAACCTGCAGAGAGACAAGATTCAAAGATTTTAACTTCATGCTCCTGAAAACTTGATGGCTCAAAACTACTAAAAGTACAAGTTGGGACATAAGAGAAAGATCTAAATCCTTCACTCTTACTTCTTCTTGAAGGCCCCCTCCACTAAAAAACATGTGTTTCTTCTTGTTCCTACAGTATGCAACTTCTGCAAGTGGAGAAACCTGAAGCTACCAGAGCACAAACACTGAGAATGGTAGTAGGAGACATCTTGTGTCCAGCCGGAAAACTTGGAAATGGAAAACAATTTGCATTTTCATAGTTTAATGACTTAGAAGGATACTTTTTTTAAAGGATATTAATGAGGTAAAAAAAAACTGTTTCAAGCAGACTATCTGTATATATTGTATAATACATGACTGCAGGGGTTGTTTAAGAATAATAATACATATTAATCACATTTCTTTTACAGGTGAGATGTCTTTAGGAATAACTGTATAATATATCATTGCTCATGATGAATTATTATTATGTAATGTTATTATTCAGGGTCTACTAGTTACAACTGACGATTTCTCAGCGGTAGAAATGAGCTGACCTTCATCGAGTATGATCGTGACTTCTTTACTCTTAAGTTGGCAATTTAGAGAATTTTTAAGTGTAATTCTCATACGTTTAAATAATTTTAAAATGTGCTGAAACATTTATACTAAATATTATCTCGTTCCAGCATCACAAGTTGCTGCTTTTCTCGGTTTTGTATGAGTTTAAATTCATTTTTATACATATTTTTCTGTATTATTGGACATTTTATTAATTGAATTATTACTGAATACTAAATAAATGCAAGATTAATCAGTAATAAAATATATGCACAATACTTTACAAATACAACAGAACTGAACGTAGAAGGATGCTGCAGGACACACATTGTCCACATTACCTTGTACAGAGTGAGTCTACATTTGGAGATAACTGCGTCCATTAGAGTTTGGTATGACAGTAAAAAATGATCCACTCTGCACAGCAACATCCTCATGAAATATAAAACATGTTACAGCTGCTGCAGGCGAACAAACAAACAGGATGTTTATGGGAACAGAACGGCTGCCTGGAAATACCTGCGTGGTTTTTGATTTTATGTATTTAATCTGCAGCTGATGATCGTTTTCATCGTTGGTGATCCTTTCGGGCTATAAAATGCTATAAAATGACACAATATGTGATCAATATGATGTAAAAGTTACAGTGAATACGAATGTATTAGTAATGTTCTGTCTATCTGCCACTCTTTTAGTTTCACATTTGGTCACTCAGCTGAATGAGGCCTTGACATTCAGCCATGTGATGTGGGGTCCAGGCCGCTGTAACAACCGTTTTCTGCAACGGTTTATGCAGTCAGTAGTCTCGTGTACAGCCGTCCTCGCCCCCTCCTCGCCCCCTCCTCTCCTCTCTGACTGTGCACACTGGGATCTTTGTTATCGAGCAGTGCATTAGGACAGGAAGTCGGACCGGCCCTCGGAAACAACAGCTGGACGAACAGATAAGATGCCAGAGAGCTTCGTTCAGGCTCACTCAGCCAACGACGGTGTTTTTACATTCAACATGGTGTTGTGATGGATAATGCCATAAAAATAGTTAATGATTATTTACACGCCCACTGACCTGTGGAAGAAATAAACCTCAGTGTAGTGAGGGCTGTAGCCACGCTGAGGACGCCAAGGTCATGTCCCAACTTTCTTAAAATAGTTCCAAGTTTATTTCATACAAATGCAGCTCAAAGTGTTTAACTTAAGTGCTATACTAAATATTTAGGGATATACAACCGTGATGCACAGATACAACTTTTTCTCTACCACTTTTATTTTTGCCCAAATTTTAAGTAAAGATTAGTCACACTGTGTGGGACTAATCAATAAGGTAATATGAGGCCCAAATCAGCGGTCTGACTGAATTTATTTGCCATTTATTGGTGTTAATGTGCCTTTTTTACTCTTATCTCTTTTATTTGCTATTGATTTGCTGTGCACTTTAAACTTAATTTGATTTGAATAGGTTTCACTGTCAACACAGACTTTGATAGTGACGCTGTTTAATTACATTCAATGTAGTTTATATTCATATTATACATGGTGAGTTTTTCTTTGGGTGATACTGATATTTATCTTAATTTTGTTTATAACGACTTGTGGCTTTAAGATTTTACATTTATGAACTTATATTTATTTTAAAATTAACTCAAACATGTCTTGTTTGAATTAAGTTGTTGTTTAAGCTAAGTTGACTTCCACACACAGATACCGATATATTGGTATATGTCGGTTTGGCTCCATTTAGAATGAAACAAAGATTACACCAAAATATAATATTTACACGAAACATACTTGGAGAATTTAATTAATAAACCAAGAGGGACAGTTTGTGATTTTCTTAAACGTTGAAATTTTTACAGTTTGGCTGATTGTGATTATGATTGATTGATGATTATGTAACTTTAAACCTTAATATAACTTAAACAGATGAGTTATATAAACATTCCCCCCCAGTACCGTTGTCAGGAACGAGGAAATTAACCAAAGAGACCAAAACCATTTTATGTACCAGCTTGTTAACATGTTTATTTCTGCTGTATAGTTGGGTATTTTAAAATGAGCCCTTATGGAGATTGACTCACTTCTGGAGCCAGCCTCAAGTGGTTGTTTGAGGAACTGCAGGTTTTGTTACGTTCACGTTGGCTTCATTTGACGGCCACAGACATTGCTGCTTGGTGGGATCACCAACAAAATGTAGGAGAAACCACAAGATTTAAACTGAGTCTCTAAGAAGAACCGAGTAAGTCGACTACCTCTGGGATACGTGGCTTCTTACACCTTTCTTTGTAACCAGACGTATCCTGTAGTAGTCCAGAGTTTAGCCCCTCAACCTATTGACGATTATAGTTGAGTCAAAGCTGAAGGTCACAGGCAAGAAATGATTTATAAATCTCCATGGATACATTTAATCCCTCTAATTAGTCTGAACAACTGCTTTGAAAGCCTTTACCAAGGTTGAATTCTAATCCTTTGACATTTGCTTCGACTCCAAAGAGACAGAAATACATCTGTGGAACATAACTGAAGCAGTCTGTGGAAACACTATTAGCACTCTGTTACAGCCCGCAGAAGGAACATTCAACCTTTCAACCGCAGTGAAGAAAACAATCATCTTTGCCCCTAACCGTCTGTCATAACCGTCTTTCACCCTCTGAGGGACACAAGTTTAATTGTGAGTCCATTAACACAAACTAAACTGCCTTTTTTCATCTAAAAAATACATCCAGAGTCAGAAAGAGGCTTCTTGTCTCAGGCTGAAGCAGAAAAAACTGCATTTGTTAGGTGAACTATCTCACCAAGGCTTGTATAAAGTACAGATAATGTTGTAACTGATGTTTTTCCCCCTTGTGGTTGTGTACATGTATTACTGGAAGATGCACGTTATATTTTTGATTAATGGTGTTCTTGTACTCTAATGTGAGATATGAAAACTCAGCAGCTGGTTGTTTCTATATTTAGTAGAACAGCCTGACTCATAATGTATTTATATCCTAACCCCTGCTGTTATTGTCCTCTTGTCTTTTCCCTTTTTTCTGTTGAACTGCAGACATTTTGCTGTAGAAATTACAAACTTTCAGAACCAAAATCTGAACGCAAACCGACTAAAAAGGCCACAAAATACAAGTTTTGGAGTCCTCTTCAGTCTGGATAATCCGCACCCTTCAATGTCTGATGACCCAGCCCCTCACTTACACTGGAGTTGGGAGTTTTAATCATTTTGGCAGCAGGGAATCCTTCTGTAAAGAGTCATGCGTCACTCACCAAGTTTCATGAGGAGGGCCAGGAGGATCCACAGAGAAATCTCAAAGGGCTTCCGGACGTGGTCGTAGTTGAAGGACAGGACGGGGAAAGCCTTTTTGTGAGCGGTGGAGTTAGTTTGGTGATGGGAGTCATTTCTCAACGTCTCGTTGTTTCCCGCAACAGCATCACGACTCGCGGAGGCAGCAAAGACGAAAACGACGAAAACGAGCAAAAAGCCGCATATTAACCCGGCAAAACGCGGATTGGAGCTCCTCCGGGTGGGACCAAACACAGCCATTATTCAGCCGGTTTGAGGGCTGAACTGCTGCTGCTCAGCTCTAGATCCGATGAAGATGAGGACAGCACAGGAAACGAGCGTGGTGCGCCACGGAGAAACGCGCACTTTTACGCACAAACTCCACAGGCATCTTCAAATTACGCATAGTTGAGGAAGAACAAACGGTGGTTTATGTGGCAGACAAACATGCTGCTGTCACCGATGGGTGGTGGTTTTATAATAACATCACACTTCTTCTCCGCCTGCTGAGTTTATTTAAGCCCCCGACGGTTTTGTTGCCTGGTTGATCCCAACCTGTTGTTTCCTCGTCCAATGGGACTCTAACGGCTGGCATCAAGCAGCAACATCCATCAGACAGAAATCTCTCACTCTGAACTCTTTTTCTCTTTGCTCCCAACATGCAGCTGATTCAGAGTTTGGTCAGAATGAGAGTGACATCTGTTGGTGAGGAGGACCACAACGACCACCAGGCAGCCTCCACAAAAAGCACAACATCTATGGTGGAAAGTAACATTTAGAGT